GGCAATTTTCTTATTTTTTCCGGAATTTCCCCAATTTCCATCAATGGCTCCGGTTTAAGTTTTAGTTTCAGCAATGACGGCCTCCTTGCACAACATAGTGCAAGTGTTTAATAATGTTAAATCCAAAGAAAGCTAGCATGTTGGTGTCCCCCTACCAATATTGACTAGTATATTATCACGTCACATCTAAATGTCATTTGCAAAGCAGTGATAGGTATTATTTAGAAAAATTAAGAAAATCATTTTGTTAAAAAAAAAAAAAAAAAAAAAAAAAATCCCTACCTACCTACCCTAATTTTTTTGGAGGTGTAACCGGAACCACACATATTTTTTTGTTTGGCCTAATCTGTTTGTTAAATGATATTAAAAACAAGTTACAATTAATTTGAGCTGCATATTCATCGTCTCCATGTAGGCCGCCATTGACGATGTTATTTATAGACGTTCACACATTCCTTTGCCACGTGCTTGCGTAATCATAGTACACATGTACCTAATCAGACACGCGGTTGGGAAAAAAAATAATTGAGCAATTTTATAATGAAGTACAATAAATCAACATTTTTTTGCGGTTTTAAATAACGCAGTGAAAATTCATTTCAACATAAACACTCCACTATAACACTGCATGTATACTACATGTCCCAATCGAAGCCAATGTTGTGAACACATGCGCTTGTCACTTGATCTTAATACCCCTCTAGGCAAATTAATTGTCTACCAACTCCTAAGCATTGTTTTTACAGTTAGAGCACTGATTATTTACTGCCCTTATTAATAGCTTTGATCGTTTTCTTTGTTAAAATTCGGGGGTCGATTTTTAGCCTTCGTACACTATCTTTCGTATGAACTTGTGTTGATTACGACACATAAAACAGTTAAACGCTTGTTAAATGCAATTTTACTTTAATTACCTTATATTTATCGGCCTCTTGTTAAATTAATTAAGAGTGTAAAAAGGAAAATATGGAGTCTGTTAAAACTTAAGTGTTATAATAACTCGTGCTCTGTAGAAAATAAGATATCTGCGAAGATTACCTCGATGTACAAAGACATGATTTATACTGTGTAGATCTGTTCAAACTAAAATTCAACAGTATTTTGTGCTTTGTTTAAATAAAATTGTTTCTGCAAGGATAAAGACAACCAGTCTCTACTATCGGCTCATACATTCACCTCTGTCGTTGGCTCGCGTATACCACAGTGATTAGCACGAGAAATAGTGCATTTCTTTTAATTCATTATAATTAAATGTCTGAGTTAATGATAGTCCTTAAGGATGGATATATACAAAATAGATTTAAAACCATTATTTTAATTAGAAATAATCCTTGAAATGTTATGTTTTTAACGTTATGTCAAAAATCTTGACGCGAGCCCATTGCAGAGGTGTCTGAGAGAGGAACGAACGACAACTCTGCATAGGAGATTGAAAGACAACGTGTAATGTCACGATTGCCGTTAGGTAAAAATAAAATAAAATGCAATAATATTTTGTGCTGTCTTGAATAAAATCATTACCACACGAAGATTTAAACACATTTTTAAAGACAACATTGCCGTTAGCTTAAAAAAAAAATTTATAATGCAAAATTTAATTATTTCCATGAATAATACCTCCATGCTTAAATTCAGTAGTACCGTAAGCTCTAAAAACAAAGTCCGCGTATGAAAAGTTACCATGCTTATATTTTCAATACATTATTTCCAAAGATTTTAAGATTAAATTACCGTGATGTAAAAAAGACAACATTACTGCTTGATCAATTTTTTGAAAGCGTATTATACAACCAAACTGCATTTTTTCCAAAATTTTCAAGCCAAAAAATGCGTATTCAGCCAAATACGGTACACACCAGTAGAGCCATAGTCTCATCAGTGACTTCTGGTTATTGATTTTTAGCTCACCTGAGCCAAAGGCTCAAGTGAGCTTTCCTGATCAAAAATCCATTGTCATTATTGTGAACTTTTCACATTTTCATCTTCTTCCCATGAACCACTGGGCCAGTTTCAACCAAACTTGCCACAAAGTATCCTTGGGTGAAGGGGATTCAAGTTTGTTCAATGATGGGCCATACCTTCTTCCAAAGGAAGATAATTGCAAATTCGTGAAAAATTTATGGCATCTTTTAAAATCTTCTTCTCAAGAACCACTGTGCCAGAAAATATGAAACTTACATGGAATCATCCTCAGGTAGTGCAGATTCAAGTTTGTTCATATCATGACCCCCGGGGGTAGGGTGGGGCCGCATTGGGCGATGAAACTTTTACAGGAAATATCTTTAAAATCTTGTTTTCAAGAAGGCAAAGCCAGGAAAGATAAAACTTATGTGGAAATATCCTCAGGTGGTGTAGATTCAGATATGTTCAAATCATGACCCCCAGGAGTAGGGTAGGGCCACAATGGGATGATCAAAGTTTTACATAGGCAGCGATTTTTTTCTACCCATTCAACCCCCAGCATCCAGTACCGGTTCAATTGGGAAAATAGCATTGAAGTAGAACAAAGGAGAATTTTCTGTCATTTAAACAAATGAAACGTTGTTACTTTTATTCCAACCTCATTACCTATTACTCCATGTTATAAAGAATACACAATGAGTATTTGTTGTTTTTCATATCAATGGCCCATGTTTTCACATTTTCTTGCTTTCAATTTGTCAAAATGTATGACACTACGCTGTCTACACCACATGTCCCGCCATATTACATCTAATCGCTACTTTCGATTTAAGTGGAAGTGAAACAGTTAGTCAACTTGTACAATGTTTCATATAAAAAGAAATACGATGTCATCGTAGTCTGTTGCTTGGCAGCTGATTGGGAATTTTTAGTCTCAAAATTGGGAAAAATTTACATTTTTTGGCATTGGGATTGGCTGTTTATCAGTACCAGTTATAAAAAAGGGGAAAAAAACGTGAAAAGAATACATAGGAAAAATCTTTAAAAATCTTCTCAAGAACAGCAAAGCCATGATTGGTCATATTTATATGGAAGCATCCTCAGGTAGTGTAGATTCAAGTTTGTTCAAATCATGACCCCCGGGGGTAGGGTGGTGCCACTAGTGATGGTGCATCGGTTAATTTTCATAATCGATCATCGGTTGAAATCGGTTCCTGCTTCCGATGCGATTTTACCGATTATAATCGGATGTCATAGTTTTGTATACAAAAAGCAGACTATTACAATTATTTCATATTATTTCTGTAACATGAATATATAAAATATATAATTTTTGTTTTGTTTTTGTTTTGCTTCTTTTACACTTTCTAGGCCTAAAAAGATTATGTTTGTTTCCTGTAACATTCCCAAAAAATCAAGGGTCGGTAGGTCGGGAGTTTTTTTTTTTTTTTTTTTTTTTGTTTATGGATAATTGCATCAAACATCCCGGGACTGAATTATCCAGGTGTTATATTTAAAGTGGACACCCAACATGGCTGCCTAGCGGCCGAAAACGAATTTCAAGTTCAAAAAGTTGTGGGGGGAATTGATTGCTCTTTATATTTAAGGTAAATGTTGACCGAGTTGCATATTTTATCTCAAATAAACGATACAATTAACATTTTTTTTAATAAAAAGAATCAGCTGATTGATCAAACCAAAGAGCAAACACAGATTTGGCAGAAAAAAAATCCACCCGGAGGTAAATTGAATGGATCAGTCGGGTTACAGGAAACAAACATATTTTTAGGCCTTATATATGCACCTTTCTATTCTCAATCACCTCTGCTTCGTGCTAGTTGGCTAATATCAGATGCAAACGCCATTTTCTTTCATTAAGAAGAAATAAATTTTAAACCAGAAATGGATAATTCCGGAATGTATTGTATTAGAAGTATGTTTCCGATGATCGATTATGAAAAATTATAATCGATCATCGGAATCGGTAGCATTTTTTCGTCGACAATCGATGTTTTCTGATTATCGGTACAACACTAGGGGCCACAGTGGGCGATCAAAGTTTTACATAGGGAAAACTTCAAAAATCTTCTCAGAACAGCAAAGCCATGATTGGTCATATTTGGAAGTATCCTCAGGTACATGTAGTGTAGATTCAAGTTTGTTCAAATCATGACCCCAGGGGGTAGGATGGGGCCACAGTAGACAATTAAAGTTTTACAAAGGAATACATAGGGAAAATCTTTAAAAATCTTCTTTTCAAGAACAGCAAAGCCATGATTGATCATATTTATATGGAAGCATCCTCAGGTAGTGTAGATTCAAGATTGTTCAAATCATGATGATAATCAAGAAAAGACAAAAATAGGGTGGGGTCATTAAAAAAATCTTCTCAAGAACCACTGAGCCAAAAAAGCTGAAACTTATGTGGAAGCATCCTGGGATAGTGAAGATTCTAAATTGTTCAAATCATGACCCCCGGGAGTAGGGCAGGACCACAATAGGGAATCCAAGTTTTACATTGAAATATATAGGAAAAATCTTTAAAAATCTTCTTCTCAAGAACCACTGGGCCAGAAAAACTGACACTTATGTGGAAGCATCCTGGAGTAGTAAAGATTCGAAATTGTTCAAATCATGACCCCCAAGTGTAGGGCACAATAGGGAATCCCAAGTTTTACATTGAAATATGTAAGAAAAATCTTTTTCTTAAGAAGAACTTGACCAGAAAAACTGAAACTTATGTGGAAGTATCCTGGGGTAGTAAAGATTCTAAATTGTTCAAATCATAACCCCCAGGGATAGGGCAGGCCACAATAGGGAATCCAAGTTTTATATTGAAATATGTAAGAAAAATCTTCTCAAGAACAGCTGGGCCAGAAAATCTGAAACTTATGTGGAAGCATCCTAAGGTAGTGCAGATTCTAAATTGTTCAAATCATAACCTTCGGGGGTAGATTGGGGCCACAATAGATATTACAAGGGGGGAAAATCTGGTAAAGAACAGCATGGCCAAAGTTACTCACGTGAGCGATGTGGCCCATGGGCCTCTTGTTTTTTGTTTTTTGCATTGGAGAATCATGATGAAGATATCTTTTCAGGCAGCAAGGCCACTCATTAGTGTATATGGGGACAAAGGGGAGACCACTAAGAGCAATGTCACTTTGCCAGCAGTATTCCGTGCTCCAATCAGACCAGACATTGTTATCTTTGTCCATTCTCAGATGAGGAAGAATGCCAGACAGCCATATGCTGTCAGTGAAAAAGCAGGTAGGAAATGCTTGCTATTTCCACCATGGAAGAGTTACAGTTCTTACTGTGCTTTTTTGTGAAAAAGTTGGAAAATGTACAAATCTTGTGGGATTTCTGGGACAATATTAACAACATGTAAACAGGATGGTGAATGTCAATGAAACATGCAAATGAGACATTGTATTGTTGTGGACTTGACATGCATCAGAAGTAGAAATGACATCAATTTATTCACCACAGGAAAATGTTGACAAGACTTAGTATTGACGGTTCATCTCTAAATACAATGTACATGCCTCAGAAACGTAATGTTCATCAATGGATAATCATGATAAAAAATTCAGGGCTTTCGCAATCTCGCATATGCCTGTAAGGCCTAAAAAAAAATTATGATTGTTTCCTGTAACCTGACCGACCCATTCAAATTACCCCTGGGTGGATTTTTTTCTGCCAAATCTGTGTCTGATCAATCAGCTGATTCAATTTATACAAAAAATGTTAATTGTAGCTTTATTTGAGATATAAAATATGACAAACTAGTCAACATTTACATTTACCTTAAATATAAACGGTAATCATTTTTGCAACATCGAGCATTTCCCCCACAACTTTTTGAAGTTTGTTTTCTGCCGCTTGACAGCCATGTTGGGTGTCCACTGTAAATATCACACCTGGTTAATTTAGTCCAGGGATGTTTGACCCCTTTATCCAGACCTACTGACCCTTGATTTTTTTGGGAATGTTACAGGAAACAAACAATTTTTTTAGGCCTTAGTTTCTATTCTTTAACTGGAATGACAAATACATTTATCATTCAAAAGTGGATTGAGATTGGCATGTTTGTATTCTCCCCTACGTTATTGTTGTACCAGTCAGATGACCAAACGTGCCTTTAATTTGAAGATTTTCAGTATTAGAAATAGAATGTATTAATTTGAACAAATTTTGGGGAAAAGTCAAGTTTTACAAGTGTGACATATCATTTGCATATACTTGCAGTCACTCTATGATTGTTTGCATAAAATTAAGTTTAATGGAAAAATGATATTAAAAAAAATAAAAGTTTTTAAGTTTAATTAAAACAATACAAGACTAAGAATTTAACAAAAAATATGTTAGATTATTTACAGATGTTAATGGCATACTACAGTAAAACTCGTTTTGTACACGGATATAGCGAATTTACGAACATAGCAAAGTTTTTTTGAACCATCTGCAATATCTTAACAATTCCTTGTAAATTTGTACAAATATATCAAACTGGGATATAGCGAAATTACAGATATAGCAAACTGATTTTGTGTCCCATAGAGGTAAAAAATAATGAAATTTTCATCTCTTACAGGGAATTTTCATTACAGGGTTGATAGGGAAATACCAGTGGTGGTAATTACCAGTGGTAAATACCGTTATTTCCCGTCCCAGGAAATACTACAAATTTTGTCTAAACTGGGAAATATTGGGAAAACTGGGAAATACAAAGTTAAAGATTTTTATTTCTTTAATTCATTCAATCATACAAAATTCAAAAATAAAATTAACATAAAAACAGAAGATGAATAATATTGAATATGTCTCAAATTGCAATTTAACATATTCAGAATGTATCACTACTCCAGGTCCCATACCCATAAGCATTCTGAAACATTTCCCTGGCTGTGTGAAACTTAAGTTTTCCAAGTCAAGTTTCTTTTCAGTTTTGTAAAATTATTAAGTTTATTAATTATAAATCCAAGAACAAAACAAAAAATCATTTCAATCCTTCTTTTAACACTGGAGTTATTACAATCAATCATGTTTTAACAAATTGCTCTGGACAGTTTTGTGCTCCTGTTTTGAGAGATAATTACCTTGAGTAGAACTGAAAGGCTTCTTAGGTTTGATATTATTATCCATTTCTGTATCGTATCTGTTTGTATCATATTGTACATGTACAGACTGATAAGCTCCAAAGCTTAAAGGAACAATAATGAAGAAAGAAAGATAAGTTTTGGAAGATAGGACGATACTTTTTTACTCAGAACTGCTGGGGTCGTCCTATTTAATGAATCGACCAATCTAAGGCTCAAGTTTACGAAAAATGCCCCAAAATCAGTAAAATTTAGTCAATTTTAAAGCAAATCTGTGCCATTTTCGTATTTTTAGCTCACCTGAGCCGAAGGCTCAAGTGAGCTTTTCTGATCACATTTTGTCCGGCGTCCGTCTGTCTGTCTGTCCGTCTGTCTGTCTGTCTGTAAACTTTTCACATTTTTGACTCCTTCTCAAGAACCACTAGGCCAAATTTAACCAAACTTGCCACAAAGTATCCTTGGGTGAAGGGGATTCAAATTTGTTCAAATGAAGGCCACGCCTTCTTTCAAGGGGAGATAATTAGGAATTCGTAAAAAATTAATGGCATCATTTAAAAATCTTCTTCTCAAGAATCACTGGGCCAGGAAAGATGAAACTTATGTGGAAACATCCTCAGGTAGTGTAGATTCAAATTTGTTCAAATCATGACCCCCAGGGGTAGGATGGGGCCACAATGGGGGATCAAAATTTTACATAGAAATATATAGGAAAATATCTTTAAAAATCTTCTTCTTAAGGTCAGCAAGGCCATGATTGGTCATATTTATATGGAAGCATCCTCAGGTAGTGTAGATTCAAATTTGTTCTAATCATGACCCCCGGGGGTAGGATGGGGCCACAATGGGGGATCAAAATTTTACATAGAAATATATAGGAAAATATCTTTAAAAATCTTCTTTTTAAGAACAGCAAGGCCATGATTGGTCATATTTATATGGAAGCATCCTCAGGTAGTGTAGATTCAAGTTTGTTCAAATCATGACCCCCGGGGGTAGGATGGGGCCACAATGGGGGATCAAAGTTTTACATAGAAATATATAGGAAAGTATCTTTAAAAATCTTCTTTTTAAGAACAGCAAAGCCATGATTGGTCATATTTATATGGAATCATCCTCAGATAGTGTAGATTCAAGTTATTCAAATTAGTTCAAGTCATGACCCCCTCCCCCCCTGGGGATAGGATGGGGCCACAAAAGTTTTTCATAAGAGTATTTAGAAAAAACTTTTAAAATCTTCTTCTCAACATTAGCAAATCCCTGATTGGTCATATTTCTATGGAAGCATCCTCAGATAGTGTAGATTCAAGTTTGTTCAAATCATGACCTTCGGAGGTAGGGTGGGGCCACAATGGGTGATCAAAGTTTCCAGAGGAATTTTTAGGAAAAAATCTTTTTTCTCAAGAACAGAAAAGCCATGATTAGTCAAATTGATATGGAGGCATCCTTGGGTAGTGTAGAATGAAATTTGTTCAAATGAGGGTCCCCAGGGGTAGGGTGGGGCCACAATGGGGGATTAAATTTTTACAAATGAATATATGGGAAAAATCTTCTGCTCAAGAACAGCAAAGCCGTTTGTTATATTGATATGAAAGCATCATATTCAATACTGAACTGATTTTTGCTTTTTTTCCTAGCCAGTGTGCTCAGGTGAGCGATATGGCCCATGGGCCTCTTGTTTAAAATTACTTTACCAAGAAAAAAATAATAAACAATAAAGAATTAGATATTTATTCCACTGATTTCTTACAAAATAAGTTCCATTAAATATCCGTCGATGTACAGAAAAACTTATTATATCATCTAGTAAATAATGTCTCAAAGTATATTTACAACATGCTGTGTCCATCTTGTGAAGTTGGAAGTCGCAATCGTATACTAAAAATAAAACCGCAACTGTATCAAAGTTTAAAATACAGAAGAGTTTTCACAATTGCAATTGTAATCTTTTTTTACCCTTTATTTGTACCGATTAATTGAAATAGTATACCTAAATATTTTTTCGTTGTCTTGTGATATTTATTTAAATGTAAAATGCGTGAAATAAATTGTTTCCAGTAAATTCCTAAAATTATTTACCAAATATACCGCTAATCATAACTATTTTGTTTTATATCCCAAGGGGTACACGGAATTATACAAAGATTGGCTTCTAATAGAATTTTAATTGTGTGACAGATAAAGGGATATACACTGTGTACACAAATGTGTTAACACCTGTGTTGGTTTAAACACCTGCGGGGCATGATTAACAGTATTCTCTTTAGAGAAGTGGACAGGCTTTCGCCTACATCCATGGATGTAGGCGAAAGCCTGTCCACTTCTCTAAAGAGAATAGATTAACAAATCCATGTGCCGTTACAGGGGTTTTAGTGCTATACATTATTGAACAAACAAAACTGAAATTCCTGATGACTGTTAAATTGCGAATATACTCTCAATTATATTTATTTTTTTACAACAATATTTCAAGCAAAATTATAGCATGTTAATATGATTAATTTCAATTGCTCACTGTTACATGTAATAGTCATTTGTGTGTTTTAGCAAATCCCTGGACAAGAAATATAAAAATGGCGGTCATCGAAGTTAATATTGTACCCCGGTAAATAATGTCAGAATAAAAGAATGTGTCCACAATGTTCTAAAATGGAAATGATTATTGTTTGATTTCGGGTATGTCCCTAATTATAGCTGTTGTATAGTACTGTATTTAATATGTGTTTAACGACAGAGTCAAACTAAGGCAGCATTGAACAGGGAAGTTGGAGAAAATATGTTATAGCACAATTCAAGGAAGTTTTAACTATGTTTGTGTAAAACACTATTAAAATGCTGTACTCATTAAAATATCAGTTTATTTTCTCAATACGTTAACATCACGGGTTTAGTTAAAGAGTTTTACATGTTCTGATACGTAGTATCTACGTAAGAATCTCTAGAAAATCGATAATCAAAGCCTCGTCCTATCTTCCGAATCATCCTATCTAAGGATTTTTTAAAAATTACGGCTGAAAATGAGCCTTTCAACCTATATACCCCATCGACATATACCCCAAAAATTACGGTATACCATACTCTACAATTAAGAATTTTCTTAGATCCTTTTTTTAGTTACAGTAATTCCCGTTAATTACCAGTATTTCCCACCGTCCTCGGAAATATGAGTATTTCCCAGTTTTTTGCAATCCCTGATTTTCAAAGATCTCATTTATCAAAATATTGAAATGACACTATTTTTGTAAGTATTTAAATGTGAAACTCAATTCATCCAAAAAAATTTGAATTCCAAGGTAACTTTTTTATTTAATACCTCCCAAAGTACATTTGGTGTAGTACTTAAGGGAAAAAAATTATACTGTGAGTTTGCTATATATACTTTAACAAATTCCTTATACGGATATGAGGAATTATGGATATAGCGAAATAATTTCATTGGTCCCCAAGACTTCGCTATAACCAAGTTTTATCGTACTGAGCTAAGGATATTTTTCATAGGTCACCAGACTTCTGCTGAGTCATGGGGAACGGGAAGAGCTGTGGCCCGTATTCCTCGTGTGAGAGGAGGTGGTACTCATAGGTCTGGCCAGGGAGCCTTTGGAAACATGTGCCGAGGTGGTAGAATGTTTGCCCCTACTAGAACCTGGAGACGCTGGCACAGAAGAATTAATGTCAATCAGAAACGATATGCCATCTGCTCTGCCATTGCTGCCACAGGAATTCCCGCTATTGTCATGTCTAAAGGTGAAATTGGTTTGTCTTGATGTGTATCAAATATCAGTATGTGATGATTGCCATTGGTCCGTGTTTCTGAGTTCCTCTGATTTAAGCAAATGGCATAGTCTGATACTGAATATTTTCATATTTGACTCTTACTTATTTTGATATTATAGCCATGATTTATGAAAGAAATATGGATGCATCCTCAGTTAGTGTAGATTCAAGTTTGTTCAAATCATCCCCCCTCCCCTTAGGAGTAGGTTGATACCACTTATAAAATACTGAACTCCTCACCAAATGCTCAGGTGTGCAATGTAGCCCATGGGCCTCTTGTTGCATCTTTCTATTGTAACATCACAAAAAGCTTTCACTCTTATTAATGCTCATTTAATCTGCCTCAGACATCAGTGTATTAGCCAAACAAAATGCATTTTACAAAACAGTTACATTAGAATAGTTTATTATATGTATACAATCAACAATATAACGTCACACTAGGTAAATGTACTTGGGCACTTCCACTGGAGACTCCTGGAATTCTGTCAGCATTGCACATCTTCGTGATGGGTCAAAAAAAAAAAAAACTTCTTTTTTTACCAACCAATCCACAATGAAAAATCATCTAAGAGTGGGTTTAAAACTATTTTGGTCAGGGTTACTAAATGAAAATCGGGTCTAGTAAAAAATGTTTGAAGTAACCTCACTAGTCTAGTTCTCCAAAAAATGAATATCAAACACTGCACTTTTGTAGGTCACAGAATTGAGGAAATCCCAGAGGTTCCCCTGGTGGTGAGTGACAAAGTAGAGGAGTTTAAAAAGACAAAGGAAGCTGTAGCTCTTCTGAAAAGATTGAAAGCATGGAGTGATATTCAGAAGGTAAAAATGAACAAAATGTTGCACGAAATATTTGTGGCCACTCGCATTACATTTTTAGTTCACCTTAATGAAGTCAGGGTGAGCTTATACTTCACCCCTGTTGTCCCAAGTTATAGTTTTAAGAGCAGATTCATTTCCAAGAAATTATGTCAAATTAGACTAAAGTTCAAAATATGATGCATCTAGGGATGCACGGTACTAGACATGCTTTGGATGCTGCATCTTATCTACATTTTGTGTCTATAAGCCCTATAGACTTGCATGTGCATCAATGGATGCTGCATCTGACCAAATTTTCCAGATGAGACCAGGTTAAAGTTGTTGTTGCATGCACATTCCAAAGAAATAATTGTTCAGTGACTTTTGCATAGACTTTTCCACATGAAATTTAATACCTATTAACACAAATGTTTACTGATTTGATTATTGGCCAATGATATGTCGATAAGAGTGAACTGATGCTGTCAATTGTTAATGATTTTCAACACTAGCAGAGATCACAAAATTAAACAGTACTTCGCTGCTAATGATGAATTGCCTTTGGTCCGTGTTTCTGACTACCTGTGATCACAACTAAGGCATTTTTAATCTGATCTTGGCAGATACATATAAATTTTTTTGGATAGTAAGTTGTTACTTTCATGCAAAAAATCTTAAATGAGGCATTTAGAGTGCCCAGATTACACTTTCTTATGGAAGTAAATTAAGCTGAGTTTAGCTGTGAGTTGTAAGATATTCATTCAGTGGATTTACTTAAATTTGATTACAAAGAGAGAAGTGGCTTTCATTGCATCCTTGCTAGCCAAGGGTTTCCGATCGCTACTCTCCACACAAACCCTTGGCATAGCATGCTACCAAAAGTCAGGATTGTTTAAGTGATCTCAAATCTTACCACATACACACAGCTTGGGCTGTCAACAGAAATGAGTGTTTTTAAAAATTGAAGTATTTAAAGAACAATTAACAGGCACGTATATAGCAATGTTTATTTCTTATTTTGGGAGCAAATATAGATTCCTGATTATATTATGGTGCACATCAACTTCAAAGTTGGATGACACCATAGCTTTTTATAGAATGGCATGTCTTGCAGATCCTTTTTACTCGTATTTTTAGATCACCTGAGCCGAAGGCTGAAGTGAGCTTTTCTGATCACATTTTGTCCGTCTGTCTGTCTGTCCCTCCGTCTGTAAACTTTTCACATTTTCGCCTTTTCTCCAGAACCACTGGGCCAATTTCAACAAAACTTGCTACAAAGCATCCTTGGGTAAAGGGGATTCAAGTTTGTACAAATGAAGGGCCACGCCCTCTTTCAAGGGGAGATAATTAAGAATTAGTGAAAATTTGGTGGTATCTTTTAAAAATCTTCTTCTCAAGAACCACTGGGCTGTAAAAGTTGAAACTTAGGTGAGACCTTCATTACATAGTGTAGATTCAAGTTTGTTCAAATCATGACCCCCGGGAGGTAGGGTAGGTCCACAATGGGGGATCAAATTTTTAGATAGGAATTTATAGAAAAAAATCTTTAAAAATCTTTTTCTTAAGAACAACAAAGCCACAATTAGTCATATTGATATGGAATCATCCTCAGGTAGTGTAGGTTAAAGTTTGTATACAAATCATGACCCCCAGGGGTAGGGTGGGGCCACAATGGGTGATCAAAGTTTTACTTAGAAATATATAGAAAAAAATCTTGAAAAATCTTCTTCTCAAGAACAACAAAGCCACAATTAGTCATGTTGATATGGATTCATCCTCAGGTAGTGCAGATTCAAGTTTGTATCAAATCATGATCCATGGGGGTAGGGTGGGGCCACAATGGGCGATCAAAGTTTTACTTAGAAATGTATAGAAAAAAAATCTTGAAAAATCTTCTTCTCAAGAACAACAAAGCCACAATTAGTCATGTTGATATGGATTCATCCTCAGGTAGTGCAGATTCAAGTTTGTATCAAATCATGATCCATGGGGGTAGGGTGGGGCCACAATGGGTGATCAAAGTTTTACTTAGAAATATATAGAAAAAAAATCTTGAAAAATCTTCTTCTCAAGAACAACAAAGCCACAATTAGTCATGTTGATATGGATTCATCCTCAGGTAGTGCAGATTCAAGTTTGTATCAAATCATGATCCATGGGGGTAGGGTGGGGCCACAATGGGTGATCAAAGTTTTACTTAGAAATATATAGAAAAAAAATCTTGAAAAATCTTCTTCTCAAGAACAACAAAGCCACAATTAGTCATGTTGATATGGATTCATCCTCAGGTAGTGCAGATTCAAGTTTGTATCAAATCATGACCCATGGGGGTAGGGTGGGGCCACAATGGGCGATCAAAGTTTTACATAGGAATATACAGGGAAAAACTTGAAAATCTTCTTCTCAAGAACAGCAAAGCCTTCTTAAGCCATATTCATATGGAAGCATTCTCAGATAGTGTAGATTTAACTTTGTTCGAATCATGACCCCTGGGGTTAGGGTGTGGCCACAATGGGTAATCAAAGTTTTACATAGGAATATATAGGAAAAAACTTTAAAAAACTTCTTCTCAAGAACAGCAAACCCATGTTTTGTCATATTGATATGAAAGAATCCTCAGGTAGTGTAGATTCTAGTTTGTTCAAATCATGACCCCTGGGGGTAGGATGTGCCACAATGGGGGATCATAGATATACAAAAGAATATGTATGGGAAAAAAATTGAAAAATCTTCTTCTCAAGAACAGCAAAGCCATGTTTTGTCATATTGATATGGAAGCATCTTCAGGTAGTGTAGATTCAAGTTTATTCAAATCATAACCCCCAGGGGTAGGGTGGGGCCACAATGTGGGATCAAATTTTTACATAGGAATATATAGGAAAAAATGTTTTCAACAACAGAAAAGCCATGTTTAGTCATATTGATATGGAAGCATCCTCAGGTAGTGTAGATTCAAGTTTGTTCAAATGGGGGGGGGGGGGGGGGTCCACAATGGGAGATCAAATTTTTAACAAGGGAATATATAGGAAAAAAATCTTTAAAAATCTTCGGCTCAAGAACAGCAAAGCCATTTGTTATATTGATATGGAAGCATCTTCAGGTAGTTCAAAATCCAAGCCCCCCCCCCCCCCCATTTTAAACTTTTCAATACTGAAGTGATTGGTGCTTTTTTTCTGGCCAATGTGCTCAGGTGAGCGATGTGGCCCATGGGCCTCTTGTTAATTCTAGAGACTAAAGAGTCCAGATATATCCCGAACAGAGATCGTCATTTACAATAGCACTTGCTGATTGGTTGAATGATATCAATAAACTCCCATCACAACTTGAGAAAAAGATCCCAGCTTTTGATCGCACAATACGCCAAGGGTTTGTGAGGAGAGTAAAGGATCAGAAACCCTTGGCTAGCGAAGATGTTTTCATTCTAAATGTATATTGTTTCTTTTAGGTTTACAAATCCAAACGATTTAGAGCTGGCAAAGGTAAAATGAGGAACAGACGAAGAATTCAGAAGAGAGGTCCCCTTGTTATATACAACTCTGATAATGGCATCTGTAGGGCATTCAGAAATATCCCTGGTAAGATTTCTCTTTAACTGCTTTAAAGCAGGTTTTTTTGAAGTAGAATACACAGCTTGTAATGATGAATTGCCTACACAGCTTGTAATGATGAATTGCCTTTGGTCCGTGTTTCTGAAAAACTGTGATAACCACATAGGCATCTTTTTTCTGAACTCTGCAGGTGAATTACATGATGGCATTTACTGCTTAAACTCATCATGTTTTTTTTTCATATATAATGTATTTTTCAGGTATAACACTCATAAATGTATCTCGCCTAAACCTACTGAAGATTGCTCCAGGTGGTCATGTAGGGAGGTTCTGTATCTGGACAGAGTCAGCTTTCAGTAAATTGGATAAATTGTATGGTACATGGAAGAAACTGGCTGCAGACAAGAAAGATTACAAGTAAGTCTGACTTTGCAGAGCTTTTTTATTGCAATTTTATTTTGTATAAAGATGGAAACAGAGTTTCCGAAAACCATCAGTCCTACCGGCAAAACCGATAGAAAATCAAAATGTCCGATGCAATTCACTACATAACTGGTCCGTGTGACCGATTGTTGTGATCAAAGGCTTGTTTTGAGACACAGTTAGATTATTCTAATTTATTGTACTCTGATCTATTGCGATGTCTCCAGGGGTGTGCAATTAGCATCGGTCGACACCAGGGGCTACCATTTTTGGGGGGTCGGGCTAGTAGTTTTCTGCATGGAGAAAGGCCCTTGGGCTAGTAAAAGTTAAAACTACCAATGTGATAAATGAAAAGCACTACTGGTATTTTCACTCATTATTTGCAATTAAATTCCCAATAAATGAAAAATTTCATGGCAGCATCCTCCTATTGTTTGTAAATCTCCCTGATCTTCACAGTATTGGATACAACATGCAGTTTTCTACAAAAATATACATGCTCATGGAAGCAGAGGTAAATAAGTATGTACAATGAATATGATTAACATTCAAATTAATTAATAATAGGGCTGGGACGATACAACTTTTTCTATATCAATATGTATCACGGTAATTGAGCCACAATACAATATGTACCCGATATGTCGAATTGGTTATAAAAATTTTTTTTGTATTGAAATGAACAAAACCAGGGGTGTGCAATTAGCATCACCCGACGCCCGGGGCTACCATTTTTGGGGGTCGGGCTAATGGTTTTCTGCATGCAGATAGCCCCATGGGCTAGGAAAAATTAAAAATGCTAATGTAATATATGATAATCACTACTGGTATTTTCACTGATTTTTTGCTATTAAATTCCCAACCAGTGAAAAATTTCCAGTCAGCATGCTCCTTTTGATCGTAAATCTCCGTTATCTTATTCATTTTGCAGCACATCCTGACTTTTTTACTTCCAAAAACGATCGTCTTTTTTTCTAATCCGAATTTCCTCGCTTCATGTGTTTATGGTAAATAAACCTCATTAAATTATATACGATCACTCAATCAAGTGAAAGATAAGTGTTATGTGATTTACATAAAATATATTTCAGGTGTATTTAATAATCTAAGTTGAAAGAAAATGATTTCATTTCGTTTTAGATGAACTAGTGCAATGCACAGAAAAAGGAAAAATATTTTTTTTTTAGGTCACCTGAGTCACTCAGGTGACCTATTGCTATCCGTTTTTGTCCGTCGTCGTGCGACGTGCGTCGTGCGTTAACATTTAAACATTTTCAGCTTCTTCTCTGAAACCGCTCAACCAATTTCAGCCAATTTTGGCATATAGCATCTATGGGTGAAGGGGGACAAAAATTGTGAATTTCATGGTCCCTGCCCCCCTGGGGCCTGAGGGGTGGGGCTAAAACCACCAAAATTAATGCAATCTTTAAAAATCTTCTTCTTTACTCCTGGACATCAAGCAGTCAAACTGTTGACATGATTGTAATAAGCATTGAGCCCTCTACCAAAATTGTGAAATTCATGGCCCCAGAGTCAGGGGTTCTGGTGCTAGGGCGGGGCTATATAGATCATATAGTGAAAGTGCATTATTTCTTTGAAAATCTTCTTCTCTACCCCTGGGTATTATTGAACAAAATTGAATACATATTTATGATAAGCAAGAGTGACTTTACCAAAATTGTGAAATTCATGGCCCCAGGGTCAGGGGTTCTGGTGTTAGGGCGGGGCTATATAAATCATATAGTGAAAGTGCATTATTTCTTTGAAAATCTTCTTCTCTACTCCTGGGTATTATTGAAACTAATTGAATACATAGTTATGATAAGCAAGAGTGACTCTACCAAAATTGTGAAATTCATGGCCCCAGGGTCAGGGGTTCTGGTGTTAGGGCGGGGCTATATAAATCATATAGTGAAAGTGCATTATTTCTTTGAAAATCTTCTTCTCTACTCCTGGGTATTATTGAAACAAATTGAATACATAGTTATGATAAGCAAGAGTGACTCTACCAAAATTGTGAAATTCATGGCCCCAGGGTCAGGGGTTCTGGTGTTAGGGCGGGGCTATATAAATCATATAGTGAAAGTGCATTATTTATTTGAAAATCTTCTTCTCTACTCCTGGGTATTATTGAAACAAATTGAATACATAGTTATGATAAGCAAGAGTGACTCTACCAAAATTGTGAAATTCATAGCCCCAGGGTCAGGGGTTCTGGTGTTAGGGCGGGGCTATATAAATCATATAGTGAAAGTGCATTATTTCTTTGAAAATCTTCTTCTCTACTCCTGGGTATTATTGAAACTAATTGAATACATAGTTATGATAAGCAAGGGGGACTCTACCAAAATTGTGAAATTCATGGCCCCAGGGTCAAGAGTTCTGGTGCTAGGGCTGGGCTATATAAATCATATAGTGAAAATGCATTAATGCTTTAAAAATCTTCTCTACTCCTGGGTATTATTTAAACAAATTAAATACATAGTTATGATAAGCAAGGATGCCTCTTCCAAAATTGTGAATTTCATGGACCCTGGATCAGGGGTTCTGGTGCTAGGGCGGGGCCATATATATCCTATAGTGAAGGTGAATTATTTCTTTAAAAATCTTCTTCTCTGCGCCTGGGTATTATTTAAACAAACTATTAGTACATTGTTATGATACGCAAGTATGCCCCTTCCAAAATTGTGAATTTCATGGCCCCAGGGTCAAGGGTTCTGGTGAAAAAGGGGGGGGGGGGGGCTCTATTGATTATATAGTGAAAAAGCAAAATTTCTCTGAAAATATTCTTTTCTGCTTCTGGTTAAAAAGCAAAGAAGCTAAGTGTATAGTTATGATGAGCATGATTACTTCTTCCAGAGTAGTGAATTGCATGACCCCTGGGTCAGATGTGCTGGTGTAAGGGTGGGGCTCTTGATAATGTAGTGAAAATGCATTAATTCTGTTAAATAATCCTGTCTGCTCCTTAGTGTTAATCAGATAAACAAAGTGATTACTTACATGTATGATGAATAAACTTCTGGTCCCAGGGTGAGAGACTCTGGTGTTTCTCGGTGGGGATGGGAGGTGGGGGGGGGGGGGGCTGGGGGGCTCTATTGATAATGTAGTGAATCTGTAGTAAAAACTGCATTATTTCTTTGAAAATCTTCTCTGCACCTGGGCATATCAGAGGCAAAAAGAGTAAAAGTTTTGATAAATATTTTTGAACATCTGGGCCATTTTGTCAAGTGTTCTGGTCCTGGCCAGGGCTCTATTAATTTGTATTCTACTGAGGGGAGTTATTCCCCTTTGCCATTTACTTTTGATAATTAGTCACTGTAAATAATGTACTTGAAAGGTTAATAAAATAAGAGAATTTTGCAAGATTTTTTATTGTATAATACAAAAAGTACTTTCATAGTTTTAATGATCAGGTAGACTTGTAAGTAATAGATAAATAAAAATGAGACAAAAATAACTTGTCTTATTCAATGTTCATCAAAGACCAAGAGAGTCCAATGTAAGAGATTTCAACAAGGAATTAAAATAGTACAGAAGCATTGATAGTTTGTTAATATACTGTATGGTGATAGTGATAAATGGGGAACAGATTAGAACCTAATTTATGAACTGTTAATGAACACTAGATTAATTATTTTGTTGAAGCTGATCACCCTATTTTTCTTGCTTTTGGGCAACAAAGCTTCACTTTTCAGTTCATTTTATACTCTATGGATTCTCTAAATTGTTGTATTATACTCAGGTGACCGTTAAGGCCCTTGGGCCTCTTGTTTAAATTCATTTTTATTTTCTATCATAATTATTAATTTATACATGATCAAATTTTACTAGTGAGAATTAAACTTTAATTTTTAAAAGAATGCCCTTAAAACCCTGACTTTTTCAACAATAATCTATGTTTTCAATATTAGTTGTTACTTTTCCCCATGCATTTGGGCTAGTAACTTTTTACTTGGGGCTAGTAACTTTATTGCTGCCACTAGCCTGTGGGCTAGTACTTGATTTTTTGTAATTGCACACCCCTGAAAACATTTCTTTACAAATAAGAATAATTTACTCAAAGAAGTTGTATATCTGTTGTAAAACAAAATTATTTTACACAAGTGGTGTTAATTATTATGTATTTCATATTTATATTTAGCATATTTTATTTTATATATTAACCCAAAATGTTAAGTAAACAAAGAAAAATATAAGTTGGAATTGTTTTGCGATATTTCGAAATTTCTTCATTCATATCGATATGCGTATCGTCATCACGCAAAATTGATCTTATCGATATCTCAATATATTGTCCCAGCCCTAATTAATAAAATACGTATTTATACAGTAAACGCGCAGAAACACCAGTTCGAATTTCCTTGACATGTCACAACAATGAATACCATCAGGTATTAAAGATAATACACATTGTACAGTGCGGTCTCTTTATTACGATGTTCATTTTGTCACGGTAAAATATTGTAATACCGAGGGCAACATAATAAAAGTTCCCAAAAAAATCCATTAAAACATCATTCTGAAAGCTTATATTTTTTGTGTATAGAGAAGTACTTTTTCCATTACGTTTTCTTCTTCCGTTCTACCTTAAATAATAAATTTCTTAATTAAAACACTTTGACACTTTAATTCATTGTCAACTTATCTGTAAATGCATATTTCTTCATGCTGTTGAACTCCTTTTGCTTTATTTCTAATGCATCGATCATATTTTGTAATAAACAAAGGCTTTGTGCATTCATTTCCGCGATCCCGTCATTTTCTTTCACTTTCACTTTAATTTGTACTTAGATAATGCGATTGTAAAAACTTCACTTATAACAGTTTTATGTTTTATATACGTTCATTACTGAATAGACAACCAAAAATATTGTTTTTATTTAATTTTTTAATTAGATTTATTTAAATTAAAAAAGCAAACTTCAATTCCCTCAAAACAGAGTTTTACAAGATTTGATTACACAAACCATTTTCCAGGCTGTTAAAACTTGACTGAGGTTTACTTTATTTTTTCGAAATAATGTTTGATACCCATGTTTGATACCCAAGCTGTCCATTAACACAGTGTAACAACGAATGTAATTGCACAGTGGAGTTAACATGCATCAACACAATTAAATGCAAAGTTTTCTTTATAAATTAGTTTTATTTGGTAACCAACCTATTAAAAATTAAATAATTTTACAGAATTAAATAAACTAGAAACTATAGATATGCACACTTTCATAGTTTATGAATGGCTTGGATACAACAGCTTCTCTTCTATGAACCCCGCCTGACTTGTCAAAGTGCAATCAGTCGGGCATCACTAATCACCTATTATAAGGTCTGGTAGTGTACACATGGGCACCCTGTCAGACAACAGGTGTTCCAATGTTTATTTAGCATCTCCTAAAGTCTCAATATTCGATCAATACAGAATAAACAAGGATGGAATTTTTTTTTTGGTCAAAATTTTTACATCATAATACTAAGTCCCAGAACTGTTGGACAACATAAACGGTCCTTTTTTGTATAGATTTGTTAAGAAATGGTTTTGTGCTTTGAATTTACAACTTCTATCTTATAAAACCGTCACCGTAATAACGAGATCCCACATGAAAATATAATAAACATTTCACATTTATCACACCTACTTTTGAAAAACTTGAACATAAGCCATAACTTTTGAACGGTTGGTGCTAGGACTTTCATACTTCATATATATATTCCTTGTGACAAGGCCTTCCTTTGGATACCAAGAATTGTAATCCATTGACCTTGACCTTAGAGTTTGACCTACTTTTGAAAAACTTTAACCTTGGTCATAACTTTTGAACAATTGGTGCTAGTGCTTTCATATTTCACATGTGTATTTGTGAGAAGGCCTTTCCTTGGGCATCCTTAATTTTGACCATTTGACCTTGACGTTGTTGTTTGACTTACTTTTGAAAAACTTTATCCTTTTCCATTTCTATTTCTATTCAGTGGTTGCTGCTAGGACTTTCGTATTTCACTGGTATAGTCCTCGAGGCAAGACCTTACTTTGGGTACCAACATATTTGATTTGCATTTGAGAACATTTAACCTTTGCTATAAGTTGCTATACGGGGCATCAGTGTTTCACAAACACATCTTGTTTCATAATGAAAGTCACAGTAAAATGACAAAATTCCTGAAATTACCAACTATATACAAAAAATTAATTTTCAAAATTTTCTTCTTGCGATGTTCCCAGTTGTAAGGGCATTGTGCCCAGTCCAAAAATAGTTTACTTCAAAAACACAGATGTTAGTTGTTTTAAATTAGAAAATGATTGTTTTCTTTTATTTCTTTTTCAGCTTACCTAAACCCAAGATGACCAATTCAGATTTAACAAGATTATTAAAGAGTGATGAAATTCAGTCTGCTTTACGCTTACCCAAGTAAGATTTTTTGAAATCATATATATTTTTGATCAGACATTGAACAGTGGAGTTGTGTGCTGTAAAGATTAAAAAGCAATTCAGAGTTCATGAAAATTTACTTTTTACAGAAGAGATAATAACAGAAGGAGAGTTCTTAAGAAGAATCCATTGAAGAATCCTAGAGTGATGAACCATCTGAATCCATACAGTAAAGTGATGAGGAAAGCTGCACAAAATGTGGAGGCCAATCGTAAGGCTGCTCGTCAAGCTAAGCTGGACGCCAAGCGTGGGGTAAGATATAAGGACAGAAACTGTTCTAGGTTATGATGAGTTCAGGGAAAGCCCTATTGTATTGCTGATGAGGAAAAAAAGCTTTCCTATTAATACTGAGGAAAATGCACGTCAGACTGAGGCAATACTTTTCTGATTTGTTTTATTGTATGTTTAGTGTTTGTAAAGCTATTTTTTGTGAAATTGAATTCAGTTAGAATTGGGAGGTTGTTGAAATAAATTCAAGTTGTGTATAAGAGGAATTGAGTTGTTTTTAAAGAAATTAAAAGGTAATTAAAGTTAACACCTTCCAACAACATAACACTTTCAGTATTGAGTTTTTTTTTTATTATACTTTAGATTAAAACTGAAGCCAAGCCAGCTGCCAAGAAAGCAACAAAGGCCAAGCCAGCAAAGAAGTAAACAGGGGATAAAACAGTGGCAACATTGATCTATATGACTGAACATTACTAAACTGTGTCAGGATTTAATTTATTGTTGTCCAAATAAAGTATCTTCTGGTTGATAAATGACAGTGTGTGCATTTTGGAAAGGGTTAATATGTTACAAGGAATCCTATAAAACAATGACTTAAACAGAAAGACTGAAACAGAAAAATATTTAAATTAAAGTACATGTATATGCACTTTCGGGAGTGCACACTTTTTGGAATGGCTATTGAGAACTTGATGTTTAAAAAGTTGTCCACTTTTTTTAGACTGATTACATTGTATTAGGTCCTTAATTGATTCTTAAGATTTATTTTTTCCCTGATTTTGTTCAAGAGCGGAGACATTAAGTTTGTCTGTCACAAAAACTTTTAAGACTTTGAAGTTTGACTTTCAAAACTTTAATCTTGGTCGTAGCTTTTGCACCAGAACATTTAACTTCCAAATATATATTAAAAAAAAGAAATTAGTAGAATGGACAGGAAAGACGGTTACAATATGCCAAAGATCATTGCATCAATAAAACCCGAAAGAGGGGTACCACAATTCTTTGAAATGCCTGATAGCCTTGTGGATAGTAGATATATACAGATGTAAAATGGCAGGCTTGGGAATAACTCAAGCTACAGATCTTGTAGCTTACTGGTCTTGAAAAATTGGGATGGACACCTATGGTAGCAGGCAAACTTTTGCATGATGAACACTTAGCTGTCAACCAAAATTTGTAAATTTCATGGCCCTCTAACCCTTGGTTCAGGCTTAAATGAATTTAATTCATCATAACAAGTTTAAGAATTTGTTTGAAAGAATTTAATTTGTTGTAACAAATTTTGGAATTTGTTTAAACAAATGAAATTGTGAAAAACTTTTTTTTTTCTTTTTTTACTGTTCACAGTAGCTCAGTCGGTAGAGCACTCACTCCGTGATCTGGAGGTCGCGAGTTCAAATCTCAGCCGTGACTGACCGAAGTCGATAAAAAATGGGTAGCAACTGTTCCTTTGCTATGCACTCGCCACTTTGAAGTAAAAGTTGCGGGTCCTTCGGATGAGACCTTAAAAACCGAGGCCCCGTGTCACGGCAGGCGTTGGCATGATAAAGATCCCTCACTGCTCAATGGCCCTGAGTGCCGAGTAAAGGTCAAAATTTGAAGCCCTTCGCGGGTATATGGTGATGTCTCTATATGAGTGAAAAATTCTCGAATGGGATGTTAAACAACATACAATCAATAAAAACATTTTTTTTAATTTATAACAAATTCAATAAATCTTTTATAACAAGGATGGGGTATGTGTACGAAACATAGTGCAAATGTGCATGATTTGGTTGATTTTCACATATAGCATGTGCAGGTCTGGAGGGGGGGGGGTCCCCCCCCTCAGGAATTTGTGGAGTTAGTAAATGAATATACTGAAGGAAATAAAAAAAAACCTTGGAATCCCCACTAAACATCGCCACAAAATACATGTGTTTTTTTTTCACTTTTTAGCTCTTCTTTGCCAAAGGCTCAAAGAGCTAATGCTATGGCCATTTGTGCAGTGTGTGTAAACATTTTAGAATATGGGCCATAACTCAAGAACCCCTTGGCCAATTATTGTCAAGTTTGTTGCAGAGTATCCTTGGCCTAAGGGCTCCTGTTTGTACTAAAACTAGGGTTGTGACCCGTAAACAAGGGGAGATAATTAGGTAATAGAAGCAATAGTACTGGTTTCTAAAAAATCTTCTCAAGAACCACTGAACAGATTATCACCAAACTTACACAAAAGGATGAGGATATGTTGTAGATTAAAATTGTTCAAGGCATCACCCTGGGACAAAGGGCATGGTCTCAAGGTCACTTCAAAGTTGACCAAAAATTACATTTTATTAAAGTGTTGATATTTTGCCTTCTGTAAGGACTGGGATCAGCAAATCTTGTCATTTGATGCCTCTAAGGACCTCATATCTTGTTGACTCAAAAGTAGGTCATGGTGACCTACTTTTTAAATTTTGTGGCCATTCTTTTTCAAAATAATTTAGAGGCATATTTTAAATAATTTAAGGCCTATGATCATCAAACTTTGTCAGTTTATGCATCTTGGGTCTTCGGAGTATGTCAATTGAAAAGTAGGTCACCTTGACCTACTTTTTGAATTTTATGGTAATGTTTTCCAAAACATTTAAGGTCATTAATTCAAATACTGAGAGGTTTAGAATCATTAAATCTTGTAAGACGATGCATCTTGGGGCCATAAAACATATTTATTAAAAAGTAGGTCACAGTGACTACTTTTTGAACTTTGCAGGCATTCAATTTAAAAGCATTTCAGAGGTTTATTTTGGACATTTTAAGGCCTATGATCATGTAACTTTGTAAGTTGATGCATCTTGGGTCCTCGAAAAATGCAGCTGAAAAGTAGGTCACCGTGACCTACTTTTGAAATTTTATGGCTATATTTAAATATTTTGGGTACTATATGGCTTAGATTCATCAAACTTTGTCAGTTGTCAAAAGTTGGCCAAGGTTAAAGTTTTCAAAAGTAGGTCAAAGGTCAGTGGATTACAATACAGAAATACACATGTTTAATATGAAAGCCCCAGCACCAAATGTTCAAAAGTTATGGCCAAGGTTAAAGTTTTCCAAAAGTAGGTCAAGGTCAATGAGCTATACTTGTTGGTATCCAAAGTAAGGTCTTGTTACAAGGAATGCACATGTGAAATAGGAAAGCCCAAGCACTAAATGTTCAAAAGTTATGGCCAAGGTTAAACTTTTCAAAAGTGAGTCAAACTCCTAGGTCAAGGTCAAAGCTGTTGGTATCCAAAGGAAGGTCTTGTCACAAGGATTACACATGTGAAGTATGAAAGCCCTAGCACCAATTTTTCAAATATGGCCGAGGTTAAAATTCGTCAAATCCCAAGGTCAAATATGATGGTACCCAAAGAAGTCTTGTCACAAGGAATACGCATTGAAATATGAAAGCCATAGCTCCAACCAATCAAAAGTTATGGGCAACTGTTGAGATGTGAGTTATACACCTATAGAACCTGAATAAACCAAGAAAACAAACTGAAATTTTAACAAAATTTAATAAACAAAACAAAAGTAGATTTTTACAACAAAAACAAATAAAAATAATTGAATTGAAATGTCTATCAGCAGAACATCCTGGAGTGTGTCCTGGAAAGCGTGGTTAATTGATTACAGCACCTCTGCTGAACATTTACAGAATTTTTGTGTTGTATTTCCTCTCACTGTTTTTCACAAATGAAAATGAATATAAATTCACAAAAAACACATAGTTGGCGGTTTTCTAAACTTTCACAATGCTGTTTGGATTATCTTTGGATTTAATCAATATGATTTTCAAAGTGTTGAATTCTTTTTAAAACATAACTTTTAAATGCTGGTCCTGAGTTGTCCGTCAGGGCTGCCGTATCTGACTCTCTCTCACACGTGCTGTTGTAGCTCTCCCTCTCGCCCTGGACTGGCTATTGTATCAATGGAATTTAAGTACCCCGCCCAAGACCTGTGTCATTTTAGAAACGGGACGAAAGCCCGAGGAAATAGGACCCTGGGGAAAAATAGTGAAAAAAACCGTACTAATTGTGTAGATTCAAACTATATAAACATATTTTACAAATTAGATTTTCATTCACGTAAATACCTGATGTACTTTTGAGCACCCGCTCTGGCTACTTCAGAACAAGCAAAACAGGTTTAATCTTGGCTGTGACTTCCCGGGTACTACCCCAGATAGCATGACTACGTTGGGCCAACATTGGTAAATGGTTGTATGGTTGGCGTTGGGTGGACAACGTTGGACCAATGTAACCATGTCAACCTTCTTGATCATGTTGGGATTCCTATGTTGGCCCAACGTTGGTCCAACGTAACCAACTTCTATATTCGCTCAACTTTCAAAGGGAGTTAGGATTCTAATGTTGGCCCAACGTTGGCCCAGCGTTTGTAATACACCCTTACTGAAAATGTCTAATCAAGTTGGTAGTAGTACGTCGGCCCAGCGTTGGCCCGATGTTAGCATGTGTAAGTGTTTCAAGATGGGATCTTTATATTGGGCCAATGTTGGCCCAATTATTGTACTGCCAACTAAATGATGGTGTCCATGTAAGCTGATGAGCGTTACGTTGGGCCAACGTTGGTTCCAAGTTCTTAAATCGTTATGTTCCCAATGTTGCCCCATTGAACTGTTGTCTTAAAAGCTTATTTGATTGCAAAACATTAATTTAGATGCACATTCTGAAATAATAGAGGGCATTCGCTGTCCTTGCTTTTAATTGGATGACTGCATCTGTTTAGATCTGATATTTTCACCATTCTTATCTTTGAACTAAAGTGATCACAACACCGAAAAAGTTTTTTGTTCTGTTTTTTTTTTTTAAAGTAGGTGCATGATTATTTATTAGTTTTAAAATCCTTAGCTCTAAATTATGAATTATTTCATGAGCGTTGTATTAGAGATTGTTCTATCTGACGTATCCGTATACGTATCGAGGTGAGGGAGGCATCTCGATCCCGATGTCTAAGCTATTTACTATAATTTCCATCGTTATTTGTTTGGTTTTAAAGCAGCCCCATTCATTTAAGAATAGCATATGATATTTTTTTTCTAATAAAAAATGTATTAAGCTGCTGTAAACGTCTATCATTTCGCTGGAAAATTTCTTAAAAAATAGATGTATTTGTTTTCATTATATTATTTAAAACTTTAATTGCAGTTTTGTTTAAAAACGTTTATCGGGATCCCCCTCTCTCTCCTTTAACATCAGGCATTTTATTGATTGATTCTGTAATTTACATTAGATGACATAAAATTAACCCCCCACCCCCGCCAACTCACACACACACACACACACACATACACAGAGTAAAATGCAAAAGACGTTGTATCCACACAATCAATAAAACCGTGTAGCCGTTTTCTAAAGAGAATTAGCTTCCAGACCCTTACCAGTATATGCTTAAAAATGCCAGTTCATCCCCCCTTCCCAGGGGGGAGGGGGGGGTTGAACTGGCACTTTTAAGCATATACTTTCATAGCATCTGTTAACTTTCTTCATTCTTTTTTTTTCAATGAACTAATTGA